GAGGTAGTCAAAGTATATGGGCTTTCTTCTTAGGAGCTGTAATAGGCACAGATTATTTTAGTTCAAGTGATAGAAATGCTAACCAGTTGAGGTTTAAATAGTTATCTCACATAATAAGAGATCTGGAGGTGTAATAATAAGAGGACTAGTATAGCAGCTTAACTGTACCACCAAGAATTCATTTTTCTACCACACTTCCCCTATGTTATCTTTTTTTTTTATACTAGAGATTGAACTCAGGGGCACTCAACCACTGAGCCATATCCCCAGCCGTTTTTTTTTTTTGTATTTTATTTAGAGACAGGGTCTCACTGAGTTGCTTAGTGCCTTGTTGTTGCTGAAGATGGCTTTGAACTCATGATCCTCCCGCCTCAGCCTCCCAAACTGCTGGTATTACAGGTGTGCACCAGTGAGCTCAGCCTGACATTATCTTTACTGAGTTTTGTCATTGTGTTTATCACAACTGTGCTTTTCGTGTTCACAAAGTAATTGTCACATATCCAGGTATCACCAACTAGCTTCTACTGTACCAGAAAAGCAGTGGCTTTCTCAGAAGCCCCACATCCCCAGAACATTTTCCTCATATCACATTGTCCAGAACTATGTCATACAAGGTCAGAATATGTTCAGAGTTAGCATGTGAGACTGGGGAAGCGAGTATATGGATTTCTAGCCTTTTTTTGAAGGTGGCAAGGGTTCAGGAGATTGGCAAGGTTATCTGAGTTCTTGCTTTTCTTTTCTCTCCATTCCCCATAGTTTAATATAGTCTCTCTAGGACAGATACTTATTTATTCTGTTCAATGCCCATTTCTAGGTACCCACTGCTTTCCTCTACTCTATAAGTTAGAGATATTTCGATGCTTGATTTCTCAGCCTCTCTTGAGTGGTCATATGACCTGGCTCTAGCCAGTTTGGGGAGTGTGTGCACACACATGTGTGCAGGCACACATGTGATTTCCTTTCCCAAATAGAGGCAGAGAAACTCACTGTGGAAACTCTTTACCTTTGTTTTTACTATTATATGGAACATAGTCTTGATGCCATCTTATGACTATGAGGGAACAAAATGTTGATACCAAGATAATGGAATAAAAATAATTAATTTGGGATATGATAACAACCATGGATCCATTGCATCAGATCTGTAGGTTCTGCCTCTAAACTTTTCATATGAGACTAATATACCCCAATTTGTTTAAAATATTATAGATTTTCTGCTGCTTGCTGTCAAATATAATCCTAAGGCAAGAAATCATATCCTTGTATCATTATACAAGTCTTCCAAATCTATTGTTTTTGTTAGACCTGTCTAGCTAGACCTGTCCTAAAGGGTTCCCATTTTCAAAATCCAAAGGCAAGAAAGTAATCTCTTTTCCCTGATATTTTGCTGTGTCAGAAAGTGATGTTACATAATCTGTCCAAATGAGGAAGGGCTATATGAGATACAAAGAATGACAGGGAAATAATTCCTGATAAATATTTTAAAATATGTGTCATCATAGTTACAAATGCACAAAAGACCACTCAATTTAGGCTAAGGCAGAAAGGGAACTTATCTGATGGATGTGAGCATATCTCACGGATCTAAGCATAGAAAGTGCAGCCTCATCCTGCTATGGACTAACTACCACCGAGGGAGGGAAAACTGCTAGGAACCAGCGCAGGTCTTTCCCTCTCCCTCTATGAACACGTAACCTCTTATCATCTACTTTCTTCTTATTATTAACAGTGGCCTTTTTTTTTTGTCTGTTCACATAGCAGAAAATAGTCATTTCAGCCTTATCAGGTCAAATGCAAATTAAATTGAGTAACATTTCTTTTTCTATTGTTTAAGTTCTCTGCAGAAAGAATCTGATTGGCCCAATTTTTCATTGTGCATCAGTCTTTAATCAAATTAGTGATCATAGGGATGGGGTCAAATGAGTAAATCTTAGGGGCTAACGGAAAATATCCTTTTGAGAAGGGGCCTTGGGTAAGTGTGTGAGAGTGGCTGTTGGAGAAGAAACAATGGGCATCTTATTATTCTTCTGAAATTTTAATAGGCTGATCAGTAAACCAAATTAATGATTCATTTATTATAGAAAAATCAGTCACTTGTTCCTCCCTGTATGTTTTCTCTCAAGGAATGTCAATCCATTCTGCTTGCCCATGTCATAAACTTCTACATGACTAGTAATCCTAAGCAATTGTTAACAGTAAACAATTTCTATGTACTATGTGATAGGCATTCTACATACATTATCTTAAGCTGGACTTCACTACAACTCTACAAGTAGGTATTATCTATTTTATTAATAATCAGTGAAATTTAGAGATGTTAAGTCAAGCCTCCAAATCTCCTCTGAATTACCATAATAACAGCATGTCGTCTTGCCTCTGGTTTCTAATCCATTTTTTTTAAACCTAGTAATCATGATATTTCTAGAACACAAATCTGATCATGTTTCATTCCTGTTTAAAATTAATCTTTGATGGTTCCCTCAGTCTAAATCCCTTTATAAATCCTTTCACGATTTGGCCAATCTGCCTTGGGCATGCTAGGCAAGAGCTTTACCACATCCGCAGCCTGCAACTGCCATCTTTAGCCACCTCTATCTACATCTTTTTAGTCAAACTATCCTCAAACTATACAAATTATTTGCAGTATTTGCTTGTTATTTTGTCCTTTATTTTACTTTCAATTAATATAATGATTGTACATATTTATGGGGTAACAGTTCATTTCTTCTCTCTGTACAATAACCATTTAGTAGTTTTCCTAGCTAACTCCTACACATTACCTGCACTCAGGGCTCTGGGCAGATGTTACCCTATTTAGAAGCCTTTCCTGATTGAATAGGGTTCCTCTTCTTGGCTCTCCTGTAGCACTCAGCACTTTTCTCCTGAATTTATCATACTGTACTGTATGTTATTGCTTGTTAATTTATTTGTTCTTCTGCTCTGGACTATAAAGTCTTTCAGTGGAGGGATTATGTCTGGTTCAAAACTGAATATGTAAAATGAATATAGTAAAATGCTTTACATGTAGTAGTTTAATAAATATCTGTTGAATGAATGAATCTTAAGAAAAAGTTCACAGGGCTACCTGGAGAGAAACAAATATTTGGCATTTTCTGTTTAGTGAATGGATTATTCTGATAGTTGTTTCCTTTATCACTGTACTTTTGGCTTACAAATTATACAAATTAAGCAGAAAAAAAATCTAAAAAATAATAGAATTAATTGAGAAAACATGTCACAAATTATAATAAAGTGATATAAAGCAAGTTAAAAAGTGTCAAACCTAGTGTAAATAAAGTTGGATGAAACAATAAGTTTGCAGGATTAGGGGATAAAAATCAAGGAATTGAACGTTTTTCTCAGAGTTTAGTACATGGAATGTACTTTGATGCTAATATTGATATTGGGCTTGGAGATCAGGAAGGAGTCCTTTCCCTCCAGTGTTGAAGATTAAACACCTGAGAAATGTGGAGGCAAGCTTAGAAAGTTTTATTTAAGAGAGGGACAGATGATGATGTAGACTTCTTCAAAAAGAAGGGGGCCAGAGCTGGGTGCCCCCAGGAGTAGGTGTGTCTTGCTCTTTTTAAGACCTCCAGAATTCCCCATATTCTCAGGAAGGAGTAGCACAAGGGCATAATCCCCTGTGTTGGTAAATACAATCCCCTAGAGGTGTTAGCAACCCAGTTGAGCTGAGAAAGTTTGATCCTGTAGGTTAGCTGTTAACAACCCAGGGATAAAACACTGTCATTCTCTCTTGACGCCCATCATTCATTGTCTACACTGACTGCCAGGCCTTCTGCCCTCTGCCTTAGTTTGTTGAGGAATGTGACATTTCCTATCCCCAAAGTCCAGGTGGGGCTGCAAGCAGTTTTTTGGCAAAGAAAGCCTGTGGGGAGTCAGTACTGTGGGCTCATTTTATAGAATTATTCTCTTAACCTTGTGTTCCCACCATTCTCAGCTATTTGTCCCCTGACAAAACCTCTCACTTAATCTTTATAATAATTCTTTGAGGTTGTTATGCCTGTATCAAACATAAGAAACTTAAAAATCAGGTTAGAATAAAATAAAATGAATGAACTTGTGTCTTTGACCTACAAATTAGAAGCATATGAACGAAATGAGAATCTGTCCTAGAAAATATTATGGAGATTGAGGGTAAACTGTACCACATCCCAATCATCCACTTGTTGGGCCTGGTTTCCTGGATCAGTCCCAGAGCTCTCCTAAAGCAATTTCTCTCACTTTCTTATCTATTTCGGGTTATAGGGATGCTTCATTTTTTCCCTCCAGAATAAATTCCACCTGTTTCCTCAAGCTCGGTCTCCTTTCTTCCTCCAGGACAAATTCCTCCTCTTCTCTCAAGATTTGTCTTATTTAAGCTCTCCCCACATCCCAGTGGGCTGAAGATTGAGTCCAGCGTTTCCCCCTCCCCCCACGCTAGGCCAGCGCCTTACCGCTGAGCTACACCCTCAGTTCTTTTGAGCGAAACTTGCCTCCTAGGGACCCGTTTTCTGATTTAGCTAAATTTTTCGAATCAAGTAAAGCACCGGACATCTCTTCAGGGGAATTGTCAGCAACACAAGCAGTGAACAGCATAATAGATCGGGCAGAAAAAAAATTTAAAAATGTAAGATCTTTAACCGTGGCTGTGTTTAAGTGACCACATACGGTACTGTGCAGTAAGAAAACCTGAAGTAATTTTCAAGTTCTGTCGTTTCGAATTTAAGTCGGGTCATATCTTCTTGAACCAAGTCTCGGTTTTGTTACTAATAAAATAGAATCCTAGTAGAGTCTTTTGCTTTCTCTGGAACTCCGGTAAGGATAAAAGGAGCTGTTATGTGAAAACGCTTCGCAAACATTTGGTGAAATGTTGAAAAATGCTAGTAGCCGGCCACAAACAGGACCAGAACAGGTTTCCCCGGCTGAAGAAACGTGAAGACCAGTAGCTAGGGAGAGGAAGCCGCGGTTGCCACGTGACGTCATTACTCCGCGCCGGCTGCGACATTTCCCAGCAGGTCTCAGGGCCGCTTTCCGCGCCATGGGGACTTGGCAGCATCTGTTGCTCTGTGGTGGGGTGTTGCTCCGAGGTGGTGGCAGGATCCCTGCCCCGCTTGGGAGAAGCCGATCATTGGTGTGTGGGCGCCAGGTCCGTGGTGCTGCAGACCTGGGGGAGGCGGGCGGGACGACTATGTGAGGCGCCCGGGCTGCAGGTCCCCCTGGCATTGCCTCTTGCCAGGGACTCCACTCAGTCCCTCTTGGGTCCCTTCCAGTTGCAGGCTCTGTGAGACTTCAGTTAGTTGGCTGGGCTTGCCCGCTTTTCCAGCAGGCCCTCAGTAGGACCGGGCTGAGACGTGGCGGGGCATGAAACAGATAGTTAGAACACGGATGTGTGTGGCACATTGCTTTCTTGGTTTTGGGTTATTTAGTAAATAGGTTAAAGAGAAGGAAAACACGAGAAAGATTTAACTCCGTAAAGAGGCAACTTATTTCCATTTTAAAAAGCATATCCTAGCAGAAACATTTCAGTTTAAACAATGTATCTTTACAATTGTGATCTGTAACAGGTGAATACCATTAAATGCAGAACTAGTGGAGAGAAGCAGAATTAGAAAAGAAAGCCCTCTTAATTGCAAAATCAGCATTGCTTTTACTTTTACAGCGTGAGAGTGGAGATGGTTTATTTAAAACACTTTCTTTTTTTTTTTTTCTTGAAGTTGTCTGGCGCTGACAGTGAGAACCTAAAACAAAGAAGAACACAAATCATGTCGCGAGGACTTCCAAAACAGAAACCAATAGAAGGTGTTAAACAAGTTATAGTTGTGGCTTCTGGGAAGGGTGGAGTTGGAAAATCTACTACAGCAGGTAGAATATTCATTCTGATTCTGATTAAGAATTCACACCAGCTGGCAAATGCACATTATAAAAATTATTCTTTAATTTATTGTTTATGAAGTTACCAATACTTGATTTCTTAGTATCTGGAGGTGATATTGAGTGGAGCTTAGATTTGGAGTTAGACAGAACTAAATATAGAACCAGGTTGTCTATACCATAACTGAGGAAAAAGTGGCTAGGTTACCCAGCAGATCTTCACTTTTCTTAACTATGAAAAGGGGACAAGTGCCCTCTTTCATAGGATGGTTATGCAAATTAAACAAGCTAACTAGTTAGACTCCATTAGTAAGTGCTCAGTAATTGGTTACTCTTATTTTTAAAACACCTAATAACTTTAAAATATGTATGCTCTTTTCCTGTCTTTATCAATGAATATGTAGCTACATATCTGCAGCGAGATTGCTTGTTTTGTGACCTTTTTTTTTATGTAACCATAATATGATTTTCACTATATATAAAGTCAACATTGGCTTAATATTTGAAAGTGCTTGAAAAGGTTTAAAATTGTTTTAATTATTTAAAGTGTTATCTACCCTTTATATCTTTTATGTTAACATGCTACGAATAAAGAGGTATTTTGGTGGTCTTTTTATTATTGTAAATTTGTTGCTAAAATCCTACTTCCAGAACCCCAAAAAGAAGCGCCACCAAAATCAGAATTTGGCTGTGGTTGTAGTTTGCCTGGCATGTATATGGTCCTGAGCCTGATCCCCAGCAAAGGAAAAAGAAATAAAAGAGTTAATTATTAGTCAAGACTAATAATTCCAAAAAATTTTTAAAAGAAATCTTTTATTTATAAAAATAATAGTTATGTTCGTGTAAATATAAAAGGGAAGTTTTTTCCAATTCTCACTAGAGGTGACTTGAATTTTTTTTTTCAGCTTTATTGAGGTGTTTTGACAAATAAATTTGTGTATATTTAAGGTATAGAATTTGGTGTTTTGATATACATACATATTGTGAAATGATATCCACAATCAAGGTAATTAACACATCCATTACCCCACCTAGTTAATTTTTGCGTGTGTGTGTGTGTGTGTGTGTGTGTGTGTGGTGAGAATACTGAAGATTACTATCAGTGAATTTCAGGTGTACGTTATTATTAACTATAATCACCTGCTGTATATCAGGTCTGTAGAACGTATAACTGGAATTTTGTACTTTAACTTGTATTAGACCCTTGTAATTTATTAATTTGGAGCCATAAAGTATTCACGTTTTATAAATACCTCATATTGAATTTTCAGTGAGTTCAGTAGGAATGGCTGCTAATTTAGGCCTTACCCAATCTTTTCTTGCAGTTGATTTTTTTAAAAAAAATTTTATCTTCATTATATTTCATTTTGTAAATTTTTGACCTAGTTCTAGACTGGCAAGAATTTTTTAAAAATTTGTGTTCTTTTCAGATTGTTAGCCTAAGGTTAAGAAGAATATATTTACATTAAAATTCTTTAGTTCTATTGAAGCCTTTTTGAAATAAGACTGGGTACGAATTCTGTGCATTTCATTAGAGGTCTTCTGTGTAAACTTGAAGCCATATTTTGTACCTTATTGGTATAATTGTTTTATAGTTGTACAACCAGCAACCAGCTATAGGGTGTTATTAGCTTTGGTTTTTCCATTTTGACCTGAAGGGAATTGTGGAAGAGTTTGTCAGATGTTTTAGAGAAATTAAGGTTTATCAAGTGTTGTGAGATTATTATCCATATCTATTTGTTAGATACTGTACTATTATTAAAAATGATTAGTGATTTGTTCTTAATGAATTCAGGCTATACCTACACATTTTTTTTTTCCTTAAAGGCTTATGACCCATTTGGTGATTTTTTTTTTTTTTAAATTTAGAAGCTCTTAATCTTTGGTTCTAGAACCTTCTCTAGTTTTGGAAAATCTGGAGTACATTAACCTGTTTTCAGTAGTGTGAATTCTTTTACACACTGTGATTACATAGACTGGATAAAGATGGGAAGTGTTTTCCCGATTATACTTGTGTGTGCATTTTTTGGGGTCTGTAGGCTAGCTGCTTGTTTAAAACAGATTGTTTATTGTTTTTAGTTGGAAGATGATCTGTTGTCATGGAATGTGACAACTTTAAAATAGGAAAATGTACGAAAAAGTGAATAGAGTGTGACACGTAGTAGGTGCTTCAGTAAATGTCCTTTACTTATTTTTCCCCTTTAACATTGTACCATGTGTTCCAAACAGCTAGTCTGTATTTTTTCATGACAGTTCTGTCAGCATACCCAAGCCTTAGAAATAGGTTATTTCTTTATAACTCTGTTGATATTATATTTCTTTCCCCTGATGTATTTTTTCCTTTTCCAAACTATTTTAAAATACTTACCATTTGAATATGTACACTAGAGATATTTATCAAGTTCCATACCCTATGTACTTTATTTATTTATCTATGTATGGTAATGTGGATTGAACCTAGGGGCACTTAACCACTGAGCCATATCTGTAGCCCTTTTTATTTTTTACTTTGAAATGGGGTCTCTCAAAGTTGCTTAGAGCCTCACTAAGTTGCTGAGGCTGGCTTTGATCTCATGATTCTCCTGCCTCAGCCTAAGCACTTTAAATATAGTATTTCATTTAATCCTCACAACAATTATAAAGTAGGAATTATCTTTGTAGAGGAGGAAGCAGATTTACAGGTAAAATAATGTACTCAGGGTTATACAATAGAAGGTGATAGAGCTGGGATTTGCATCAGGTCTGCCGCCTCCTTCTCCTCCTCCTTTTCCTTCTTCTTCTCCTTCTCCTTCTTCTTTACTGGGGAGTGAACCCAGGGGTACTTTACCATTGAGCTACACCCCCAGCCTTTTTAATTTAATTTAATTTTTAAATTTTGAGACAGGATCTTGGTAAGTTGTGTAGGGCCTTATGAAGTTGCTGAGGCTGTCCTTAGTTTTACCGTCCTTCTGCCTCAGCCTCCTGAGCCACTGGGATTACAGCATGTTCCATTGTTCCTAGTGTAACTACTTTAAAGGAAACACTTTGATACAATTTATGGTATTGTTCTATAAGGAAATGTTATTCACAGTATGAGGGTCTATTTATTTATCAGTCTTGGAAGTATGTTATTGATGACCTCTCTTCTTAGATGTAGCATTCTTCCATTGCTGGACTAAAGAAGGCTTTGGGATCACTACTTTCCTACTTTAGGTCTCTTTGATACACTGGCATAAGCAATTTGGGAAACACATTTTATCCTTTTACCTTCTTCTCTTCCCTCTGTACAGTCGCCCAATCTTTTGTATACATGTGTATTTATGAGTTTAGATACTTGGGACTCCTAAAATATCAGCATTTATTTCTAAAAGATATAGGATCATATCCATTTTTATTTATCAAAAGATAAATTTCTATAAAATATGCTTTTGAAAATAATTGAATTATGTTTTAAAATAAAAAAGCCAAGTGGATTATTTGAACAAAATTTTAACAGTTTATAAACTATTTAAAATGTTAATTTTAGGACCAGTATCTATTGTTAAATTATGTTGTTGCTAAATTGCTTTTTTTGTTTACTTTCTACGTTCTCTCCATGTCATTTTTCTTTGCAAATAAGGGAGCTATATTAAAAATTTCTATACTTGGTTATTACACTGAAAATATTAAAGGCACATGAATTTTAATAGAAGTTACTAAATTTAATTACTTTTTGTTTCTTTCAGTGAACCTTGCACTTGCACTATCAGCGAATGATTCGGTAGGTATTAATTAATAAAAATATTAATTTATTAAAATAATCATTTTAATAAATATATATAGTTTTACTTTATATAGTTTCATGTCTTTAAAGAACTAAAAATGCTTCCATTAGTACTGGTTGCATTTAATAATAACACTTAAATAACATTTAAGTGTTGACCATATATCATTTGCTATGTATTCCAGAAAAGGCTTTCACATTTCTGCAAGGAGATCATATCTTAAACTAATTTTCACAATTTACAATCTGCAGAAGGATTATTCTGGATTCAATTTTTAAGTGTTAGTAATTCAGTTTTTTTTTAAGGTACAAGATACTATAAAAATAATTTATGTCCATTGAAACAAAATTCAAGTAGAATATGTATGTAACATAAAACTGAAGGATCATACTCCCTCCTTTATACTTAAGAATTAACTGTAGGAAGTAGTTGTATGTATATCCTTTTTGCTCTTCCTCTTTCCACATGAAAATTAAAAAATACATGTATGTATGTTAATGCATGTCTCTCTATGATATTTTTAATGGCTGCTGCATTATTGCTTGACTATATTATCTTTAACCAGTCAGCTTTTGATGAAATATTTAGGTTGGTTCTCCCCCACTTACTCTAATGATACTATAGTGGAATTATTATATAGCATTCTTACACAGAAAAGATATTTTTGTAGGATAGATTCTAGAAATAAAACTACTAGATCAAAAAGTATGCATAAATTACATTGTACCTATGTACTCCTAACTGTTTGCTTCATTTTTTATTTTGCTATAGTCTATGGAGGTACTTAGTTAATTTTGGGTGCTTTTTTTTTAGATACTTAAAATAAAAATTAACATTGGATATATTGTGTGACTCCATAAATTACCAAAGAGTAGTAAAATTACATACATATTTCAGAATTGATTTTATTTTCTCCTTTATACATTTTAAAATATAGGCGAGAATTATTTGACATGTCTAGCTGTGACTGTGCTTCTAACGTACTTTCTACTATTACTATGCAATTTCAGTTCTCAATAGATAGCATATGTGGAAAAATAGTGTGTGTTATCTATACAAGTGTGATACTGATGTAGGGAATCCATAGTCTGCTAGAACCCAGAGGTAGGCATGTATATATTTGTGTTTTCTGATGTTTGACTCAGTTATTTCTGAAATTTGGAAAATAATGAACAACATGTATGGTATTTTGGTCATCTAAATTTTATTCACTGTGGAACCAAGTAATATAATTGGATTTTTTAGAAAAGAAAATATAATTACATTTTCTAAAGTTGTGCTCCCCTAATGAGAAGTTATACTCTAATGTCAAGATTGAAATTTCTTTTTAAATTGCCTTACAACTTTCTTCTTTTTATTACTTTCTTATATCTGATGTTGTCTTCTTTCTTGAATTTAATTTTTGTTTTTTTTGAAGGACGTCCTTGAGTCCTTCTGTGCTTTGGTGGACAGAATAATGGCCAACCAGAGATGTCCACATTTTAATTTCTGGAGCCTGTGAATATATTGCCTTTCATGGAAAAAAAAAAGGCTTGCTGGTATAAGATTATCCTAGATTATCTAGGTAGGTTCAGTGTAATCACAAGGGGTCTTTATAATTGAAAGAGAGTCAAAGACAGAGGGATTCCATGTGTGAAAGACTGATTCCATCACTGCTTACTTTGAAGATGGAGGGGGATCACTGGTCCAGGAATATGGGTACCCTCTATGAACTAGGAAAGGCTAGGAAATAGATTGTTTAAGCCTTTAAAAGGTATGTGATTCTGCCAACACCTTAATCTTAGCTCACTGAAATCCACTTAAAATTGTGTGATAATTTCTTACAAAAGAAGTAGGAAACTAATAAATATAGGAAGTTAAATTTCTTAGTTTTTTAATTTCCAAAGATGTCTTTATTTTGCCTTCATATTTTTTAAAAAAATATTTGTTTTAGTTATACATGGGCACAATATCTTTATTTTGTTTATTTACTTGTATGTGGTGCTAAGGATCGAACCCAGGGTCTCACATGTGCGAGGCAAGCGCTCTACCACTGAGCCACAACCCCAGCCCTTGACTTCATATTTAATAGTTTAACCAAATGTAGAATTCTAGGTTCAAAATTGTTTTCTCTCTTGACTTTGAAAACAATTTCTTCAAGCATGTTAATAAAATGTCTGATGCTAGTTGGATTCCTATTTCTTGTAATGATGTATGTGTTTCTTTATTTTACCTCAAAGCTTCTAAAATTCTCTTTATGACTTTAAAGTTTAAAAATTGTCACAAATATGTCTTTAGTTGTTGGTTTTAAAAGTTTTTACCTGCTCAAAAATTAGCCTTGCAGTATCAAGTCTTTTTTAGCTTAGGGAAAACTTTTTCTTATTCATTGATTACTTTTTGTGATGTGTTTGTTTTTTTTTTTCTCCAGAAACCTATTAGATACATACAGATCCTTTATGCTTGTTAATTTTTCTCTTATATTCTCTGTCTTTGTCTTTTGCCTGTGTTTAGAAAGATGTCTTAGACTATATTTCATAGTGATATATAGGATTTTAGTTAGCCCTTCTGTAAAAATTTAATTCAGAAATTTTATTTTTTCCAATTTTCTACTTACTGTCTCTCAATAAAAATAGTCATACCATTCTCTTGGATCTCTCTGAGGAGAGATTAATTTTATTAATCACAATGAATAAAAATGTTTTTCTTAAAAATCTTTCTTTGTTTAATATGGTCATTTTCATAATGTGCCACCCTGATGTAGAATCAGTATTTTTGGGAATTTGGGAGATATACAAATTTTCTAATCCTACCCCAGACCTTCAGAATCATAAATTCTGCCATGGAGCTCTGCAATCATGTTGTAATCAGCCTTTTAGCTGATTTGATGCTAAAGTTTGAGAATCATGGATCTACGTTTTTTTTGTGCTTCATAACAGTGTAGACACATTATATACCCTTAAAGTTTTATAAACCAGCAAAGACAAAAGGAAGACAAATGTCTTTCAATGATGATATGTATTCAAGGTCAAATGTAATAGTAAATCTGCCCCAAATAAGTACCTTTTATTCCAGGGAAAAGCATTCTCTCTCTCTCTTTTTTTTGTATAGAGTATTTCCATGAGTGTAATTATATTTGATTATCACAGAAACCTGTCCACGTAGTATTTATCAGTTTACAGCCTTATTGATTTTCCCCTGTTCTTGCCACATTTCATCAGCCAGCAAAAATCCTTGACTATATCTGCAATATTTTTCCAATACTTATTTTTCTATTTCAACTATTCTCACTTTAATTAAGGCTCATATTATTCTTTTGGCTTGTTTATTCATTTATATCTCAAACAATTATTGAGTGCCTACTCTGTTCTAAGTGCTGTGTTAGTTTGGAGGATACAGAAATGAATGAGTTGCAGAGTCCTTGCCTTTGAGGAACATATAAACTAGTACACCACTGCAGTGACCTCTTATCTGCCTGTGCTCAAATCTTTGTAGCACATGATGCCAGATTACTCTTTTTTTTTTTCATTGTACACAAACAGAGCACAACTTTCCATTTCTCTGGTTGTACACCATGCAGAGTCGTATCATTTGTGCAATCGTACATGTAAAAGGGTAATAATGTCCATCTCATCCACCATCCTTCCCACTCAGATCACTCTTAAGTATTAGAATTACATAATTTCATTGCTCAGAGTCACAGAGGAATGCCTTATGTCAGTATTCAAGATTCTCCATCATCTGCTCCAGTATACTTTTCAGGGTTTATCTTCTTTAACTAGTTCTGTGCTTCAGCTAATGAGAATTACTTGTGGAACCAGGTCTGAGCTGGATATGCCCTATTCTCAAGAGCTTTGTAGTCTATCCTCTACATTTCTACTGGAATGTTCTCTTCAGCTTTGTGTCTGCTCTTGCAGACTATGTATATGACTGTGCTGGTTATATCCTGCACAAGGGTGCTGGGCAAGGGGTTGAGTGATGACAGAAGTCCAGTCCAGCCTCTTGATGTGCACCTGTGGGCTGGTTTCTAATGCTTACATGGGAATTTTATGAACCATCCTTTCCCCGAGGAGCAGTTTAGTGAAGTGTTCCCTGAATTCTCCCAGAGTGAGGGTCTTTTCTTATTTTGTGAAATCCAGTAACATTGTTTATTTGTATTATTATTGTACTCATGTAGCCATTCTAGTAATTTTTGTACTAATAATATAATTAACATTTATTGAGCACTTATTATTTTAAGCACTTTTAATAAGTATTTTACATAGACTAATTTAAATCTAATGACATGATTCTTAGCTCATTTTCTCTTCATAGCAACTGGATAGGAATATATACTATTAGATCTTCACTGTAGATGAGGAAGTAAAAGCACATAAACTTGAGTTATTCACCCAAGAAAGTAAATGGCAGAGCTAATAGTTGAATGAAAACCCAGATCCTGTGCTTTTTACCTACTTCTCCTATTTTGTTTGGATTCTTACAATTAAGAACTGGGTTGTAGCCTAGGAAATATAGCAAGATCCTGTAAAACCAAACAGGTCAGGTGCATGATGTGGTATATCTGTAGTTCTATCTGCTCAGGAGGCTGAGGCGGTATTGCTTGAGCTCAGGAGTTTGAGGCTAACTTGAGCACCATAGTGAGACCCTGTCTCAAACCAAAACCACAAACCAAACAAAAAACTTGATTGTCTTCATCGTTGCTACCTTCAGCAGCTAGCACAATGCCTATGACTTAGGAAATGCAAAATAAATGTTTGCTGCATAGATGAGAGCACATACGCAGATTTCATAATGTTTTGTTTTTGAGGAGTGTTGTGGGATGTGAACATTTGTGATAAATTGTCAGTCTGCACACATTTTCCCCCTGCTTTTTAAAAGATGGTATCCTCTCTGATTCTACTTGGCCTTCTTCTCGCTTAGTACAATGGTTAACCCATAGTAAGTTCTAAATAAATTTTTAGTGTAGATAGCCAGATAAATGCCTTTTGTAAGTAACTTCAAAATAAAAGTCAACATGTATTTTACTTACTTGAATATTTTAGCA